CCCCAAAACCCCAAAACCCCAAAACCCCTCAAGAGTAAAACATTTGGAAAATCTACGTTTCTATTATTAAAATAATTATATTTTTATTAATGTAATTAATATTTTATAAGAGTATTAAAACTAAATAAAATGCAAAATGATGAGTCTAACTTGAATCTACCAAAAAGTAGACAAAGTTCCAACTTTGAAACAATCCAAGAGGCAAAATTATCACCAGATCAACAAACAATTATCTCAATACTGAAATAATCGCCAGAGTTTAGAAATGAATAAGATTTGAAAACTCTAGTTCCATTAGTTAAAGATATTAAGTTCTTTAAGGAGAAAAAAATCAAGCAAAGAGATCTTGTGGATATTTGCTAGAGACTTAAATATGAATATATAGCCGCAAATAAAAGTGCCATTTAATATGGAGAGTACGGAGATAAATTTTATATCATTTTAGAAGGCTTAGTTAGTGTTTGGATTCCTGACTCAAACAAAAGTAAGACTTCGGGCTAATAAACAAAAGAGAACTCCTTAGTTTAATCATAGGTATTTCAATCAGTAACTGCTAGCTTAAATACAAATATTAGAGGTGTATTAAACAGTAATTTAATGTAAGAAAAAAGTTGACAAGCTAAGAAATAATTTATAAAAACTCTCAACTAAGTTAATGAGGAGTAAATAAATGAGTATGATGAATTTCTAAAAAAACATTAAAGTGATAGTAGGTAATCTAAAACAATAGAGAAAACAATATCAGATATAAATGTCGAGGAAATTCCAGAATACGATAATCTTTAAGAGGAAAAGTTGACAAAATCTAATAGCATAAAGTCAATCAATTTTAGAGAGGTAGCTAGACTATCTGAAGGGAAGACCTTTGGTGAGTTAGCTTTGATCGTTCATAAGCCTAGAATGGCAACAATAAGATGCGAAATTGGGACACACTTTGCAGTCTTAGATAAATATGATTTTCAAAGATGTCTGGGCAAACTGGAAAAGAAGCAATTAAATCAAATCATAGATTTTCTCAAGAATTTGTAATGTTTTAAAAGCTGGACTAGAAACTCAGTTGGGAAATTCTCATACTTTTTAAGCAAATAAAAGTTTAAGAGAGGTTAAATAGTCTATAAAGAAGGTTAAGTGAGTGATAAAGTGTTTATTGTAAAGAAAGGGGAGTTTGAGCTGCAGAGGAAAATGAAAAAAGACCTTACAGACGCTGCTACAGATATTGTTGAGCTAATGGGCAAGAAGATATTAAAGAGTAATATCCTAGCGAGAAAACTTCCTGAGATAAAAGATGTTCCCTCAAACATGAGATTGACGATTTTTGGAATTGGATGTATATTAGGAGAAGAAGATATTCTCAACAGACAGACATACTCTTGCTCTTTAAAATGTCACTCTTTAAATGGTACCTTATTTGTACTGAAAAAGTAGGAGTTCTTGTTATTAAGAAATCAAGATGACTCCTGGCTTTCTATTATTGAGAAAATTATTGAGAAAGAAAAAAGAAGAAGAGCTGATTGGTTAAGTGATGATAATGCTGATAAACACCTCTCGAAAATCGCAGATTTGTCAATCTATAAACACTAAAACAACAAAGAAAAAGCAAAATAATACCAATTCTACACTAAGAATTAGGTTGATGTTCCAACTTCAGTTTTGATAAATTAATAATCTAGCCAAGACGATAATAATATGAAAAAAAGTTCATTGATTTACTTTGACAAAGAATCTCCCTAAAAGATAATGAATATTTCTAGATTGCTTCAGAGATCATAAGATATTAGAAGTAACTCTCGTTCAAACTAAAATACTCGATAAATGGAAAGAATTGTAACTCAAGACTTAAAAAACTAGCTACTAGCATAGCTTCCTAATAAATATAACTTAAGTAGAAGCTAATAAAAGCAATATCCTTAAGAGTAGAGATTCCCACAATAAAGATTAAAATCAGTAGATTTAAATTAAAATTCTACAGTAGCATCTCAAATTTCAATCCCTTCTTAGAATATTTTTATCAAGGAGTACGAAACTTTCAATTAAAGTCTGTTTAATACTCAAACACAAATGTACTAAAGCACCACAGCTAGATCGTTTATGAACAGTAGTTTGGTGAATACAAACCCAAGATTGAATACTCCTAATCAATTTAGAATGAAATAAAAGCACCATCGCAATGCTTAATTAGCAGCTAGAGGAAAGGGAGGTGGCTTTTATAGAATAAACTAAAGCCTCTTGAACCATGCTAAATACTAGCCTAATTAAAATAAAAGCATAGAAACTTCATTCTAAAACTCAAGACCATAATCATCTTAGATATCTTTGAATCTAATCCAGAATAATCGGTTCTCTAATTTTTAGTATCAAATATAGAGTAATGTTACTAGGACGAGTCAATTTAGGAACACATCTATGCTGGGAAAAGACCCATTTAATAACTCAGAAATTTCAAGGCTTCTCAACTCTAAGTCAAGTTAGAGTTACAAAAATTGAGTAAACTGAAAACTGAAAAAATCATAAAAATAATTTTTTATTTCATGATTCTATCCTTATTAAAATTCGATAATTAGATTGATCTTAGTTTAGGGGTTTTGGGGTTTTGGGGTTTTGGGG